GCGTGCTTTCAGCTTCAGGGTCCTTTCCAGCCCCAGGAACTCATGTGTTTATTTAAATACGCAGGCTCAGATCCTTGTCTTCTGCAAATAATGTTGAGGCTTCTCTGTCCTCTCCCATCTAACAGAGCGGCGATGCATTTGGGTGTGGGCCTGAGCTCCAGATTTTAAAATACCTGGCCTCTTTCCAGAGTATTGAAGAGATTTATGGGCTGTCTAGCAGACTTTGCATTTCATTTATTCCTGTTATGTTCATATAAAAAAAACTTTATGTATGTGCATGCGGGCAGTCTCAGTGACATCATTATTACAGTCTTCTCTGGCTTATTTAATTAATAAGTACCAGAGCTCTGAATAGGGAGTTTTGTGGATATACAGCATGTTCCCAAATCCCCCCAAACACACCCTGTTTCATGTATCTGCCAAACATGCATGGCATCCACTGGTCTCTCCAGCCATTTATGAATCTAATGTGTGCTTGTCCATCCATTCACAGTGTTGTTTCTGAAGTGTACCGTGACTCATCACCATCAGTCTCACGTGATTCATTCTGTCCTTGCCGGGAAACCGGCCGAAAGGTCAGAGTTGGAGGACTTGTATGTTAACTAAAATCTTATTGCAGGAGGCACGCATCTACCCAGTGAATCCACACGCAGCGAATCTACTGGTCTTTCATTCTCTGCCACCATTCATACCATCACTATTGGTCACAAAACAAACTTGCTCCTCTTGCCGGCTAACTTAATACAAACTTGCCTGCCAATTTAATGCGTTAGCCTATCGCAGTGTTACATCTGCGTAGTGGTTTTTTGTTGTGTAGCGAAGTGGTCTTAGGGAAATGCTCTTTCTGCTACACTAGTCTGACTTCAAAGAGCAAGGGACCTTTTTTTCTTCTACTGCACTCATTTTCAAGCATTCAAAAGTCCCTTGTAAAGATGGCATTTGAAATTGAATATGCTAATCGGCAGGCAGGTATGTCTTTGGAAGAATAGTAACTCTTCCCCAAACATTATGCCAACCTGAACCCAACTGTACCAATGTTCATTGAAAAGCAAGCTAAAAAAGGTGTGAAAACAGACGGACAGGATCAGAATTGGGTTATTAACTTAGGTCACCTGTCTGGGCTTACGGTGTTTCCCGTGCTCTAAATAAATAGCTTATTCTTCTCATTGTTAAATCTCATTATTGTTGTCAATGTTCCTTTTAATTGTCTGCTTACTGCAAAGCCATGCTAACATAAACAGCAGATAGTCATTTAATGCCGTAGCTTTTTTTCTGTAACATTAAAAGAAATCTCAGGAAGATAGAGATCTCATTAAGGATCTTCTCCTCTCAAGCACGGTGACTGTATTTCCTGTCTCGGTGTTCCTTGAATTAATGTGTGCAACATTGCTTTATTTTCTTTTATTCCTGTTTGTGAAGAGTTGTGGGGTTTTTTTTTTGGGTCCCATTAGGATGAGATCACAGAAATGAAGAAAAAGCTCAAGATTATGACCCATCAAGTGGATCAGCTGAAGGAGGAGATCACGACCAAAGAGGCTGCTCTTGTGAAAGTGCACCTGGAGCACCAGCGGATAGAAAAGGAGAAGGAGTCTTTGAAGGTAAGAGTTATGATGGGTAGGAGGCTGCCCAGCATTCGCTTTGAAGAAGAGGACATCGTTTCGAAGATCGGGTGGTGATCACTCTGCTGTACTCTTAAAGGACTATTCTATACCTGAAGCTTAAGCTCTCAGCTGCCTTAACTGTCATTATTTACACAAGGTTTTATGAATTGGATAGAAGAGGAGTAGGTCCTTTTATTCCTCCGTGCCTACAACTAGATTCATCAAATGCCATAATCTCTTTTCCTCTCAAAACCCCATCGTTGTTTCGACAAGCTCTTGTTTGCTTGCACAAACACAAGCTTTTGTTGCTGCAATGACCGCATCAAACTTTTAAAATATTGGCCCGCTGAATTCCTGTTTTGATTGCCTTTAACTTCCCTGTCTGTAGCTTTCAGTGCTAACACGGTGCTAGCACTTTTCACAGCCCTGTCGTGTTGTGTAACCGGCAAACACAAGCCTGCTGAGTACAGGGCAGTTTCTTACGTGTCGTTTTCTCAGAAAGACATTTACTTTTCTATTGTGTATGATATAAAGCAGGAAAATCTGTGTTAAATCACAGGGAAGTGGAGCTCTGAGCTCCGGTTCTTTTACTCAGTGCTGACTGTGGCCCCCCCGCCTCTGTCTATATGATGTACTAAATGTGCATTGATAGCTTAACCCAATTTGCTTCTCTCTTCCAAGATTGTAAAGGGTTAGTGTGTCCATAGCAGGTCATTTTTTTCTCTTCACTTAGCACCAGAAACACCCCCCCCATCCCCTGCCACTTTCCACAATGCTTTCTTTTTTTGTCAATTTATTGCTATGCTCCAATGACTCCTTACATTTCCAGCCACTGTCAGCACACTGCGGATATGACAGAACGTCAATAGAGCTTTGTAAAGAGGTGATGAATTCAAGTTCCTCTACCTGATCTGTCTCCAAGTTGTTATGACAGGGATGGAGAAGTCAAACACTGCCTCATTTTCCATGTGCTGCCTTCTGCCTTAACTAGTCCCCAAACCTGTCTTGTCATCTCAGAGCCATCCCCCATCAATTTGACAATCCCCCTGATTGCTGCACTGTTTTACCCACTCAATTATTTACTAGCTAGTGTGTCCCTGAACTGACATCATATTAGTGAGTGGCTTCAGGACATTGTGGTCTTTCACCTGATTGTCTCTGCTGCAAGCAAGGGTAAAGAACTGAGAGGGCTGACTGGCACAGGCACAAAAGAGCCCAATTATTCTTGTAGCACGATGACTTCAATTTGTCCTGCTTGCACTGATATGAAGGAAGCAGGCTGTTTCTGAGAAATCACTTTAAATTTAATTGTGTAACATGGGCAACTTAGACTCGCTCAAGTGCTTTTCTTCAAGTACTGGGTTTATGCTTGGTACAGCCAACATAGATGGCTTGCCCAGAGATATTTTACACGTATGCACTCATGCTGTGTATCTGACACCTAGAAGAGTCTTAACGATGCACAGCTTTGCTGGAGGGCCCATACAAAGAGCAGGGCTGACCCCAGGCAGAAATCCCGGCAGAATACCTTTCTTGTGGTGTTACAGCACGTTGTCTCCAGCCTCAGATGGAGACCGGTTGTTAAAAAAACACAAAATTCCCTCCCCTGAATACTTCAGCACCTAATCATGTGCTGGTTTGAATCCGGTGCCAAATCTTGGCAAAAGTTCAAGACAGTTCTTAATTCTTGCAAAAATGGGTTCTCCCTTTTCAAATGTTCTGGGTAAGGACCTCATTTGTCTTTCAAGGCACTGTGCTAAACCCGTTGAGGGATCCTGCCCTTTAATCTACAGGCAACATAGCTAGACATGTATCCTGTACTCGTATTTTTCTGTCCAAAAGGTCCCAGAACTGTCACCGTTGAAACCACTAATCCCAAACAGACTCCTGCAAGAGTTTGCAGGGTCCCTGTGTGCCTAGCAGTGGTTAGATTCATTACTGTACTTGGCAGCCCAGATTTATATGTACTTAATGCACTCCAGTGTGGGGATTTGTTTATGTCCGTGTTTGCTGCCAACATGTAATGCCACATCTTGTTTACAACTTATATCTTCTGTGACATAAGGGGAACGCAGAAGTTTGCTGCTTTAAAAAAAAAAAATAGCATGCTGCAGTGCCAAACGCATGAGCAGTTTTACATTTGTAGACAGCTTTTACAGACTGTTGATTGTATTTTAATATAAAGTGGCTTACATTTTTGTTCCGCTGATGGATGCAGATGAGCATCCTGCGCTGAGTAACAGAGATATGAATGTTGCACGTATGGGAAAATAGAAGTTTTATTAAAGGAAACAAGAGCAGAACAAGGTGTTTCACTATGATGATGGAATTGTTGTTCTGTCACCTTAAATTATTGCTTTCACCTAGTCTCATGCTCTTATCTTCTTGGTGTTGTATGACGCTCTTTCTCAAGAGGCAACTTGAGCATCTCCATTTATTGTGATCAGATCTTTGCCAAAGTTTTTCTTTTTCTAGTGTGCTGGCTTAGAAGCTTTTGAACCTGCGTAAACAGATCTTCAGTCAGCTCTGCTATGCTTGCACTAATTGCCTAGAAATGCTGGAAATCTCTTTTGTAATCTGGCAGGATTTTATTGCCTTTTTTTTCTGGGTCCAAGAGTTGAATTTTACTGTGCAAGCCAATGGGATGTGAGGTGCTGATCAAGTCACAGGTGTAGAGCAGGTGGATGGCATGTAAGTTCTCTCCACATAGCTCTGTAACGGCATATCACTCCTTTGTTATTTAGCTTAGGATGATACAGTGATCACAGAGCAAGGAGAAATATATTCACAATTTTATGTCCAAATTTTGCAGCCGGCTGATTGCCTGAGGTGTAGTGTTGTGCAGATCCAGTGGAGGTCCGTTCAATGCAGAGATGATGTGATTCAAAGTTTGAAAAGGGGCACTACAGTCACAGTTCGGTGAGCTAGTCCAGCCCAATCAATATAACGAATCCACGTCTGCCGTGTCCTGTCCTGATTTGGTTTAGAGAAGATATCTAGGGAGGTCAAAGCCAGCTGGTCTAATGGTGGGATTTGGAACAATAATTTCTGTATCGGGGGTGAATTGAGCCACTCTTGCATCCAGGCAGCTTGGGTGTTAAATGAGTCTTGCTCGACTTGAATTGCTGTTCTCCAAGTGGGATTTTAGATTTTAATCTTGGACACGGTGGGTTTAAAAGATCCTCATGTATAGGCGGCTGCAGGTGGTTTTTTACTTTAGCCCATAATTTAGTTAAGGCATTTTTCCTTCTTAATGGGAGATGATGTGCATTACTAAGATGTATGTTACTATCACTCCTGATCAAGGGCAATCCCCTGCTAATCCAGTCTTCCCCTGCTCTCTAAATTTGGCCAAAGCACTGTAATTCAGAGTTTTAGAGCCTTTTTCTATTCCATGCCTGACTGCCAGCCATTTCTGCTTATGTTTGTTAATCCTGACATGCAACATCCCCTGTTATTTCAGTGCTGGTCATCATCAGTTCATGCAGACAGCTGCTCTGAATTGTCCCAGGTATCATGGATTATCCTCCTTTTAACCACTAGAATGATTTAACCACTAGAATGAAATCATCAATCTTGCATTAACTTGTCTCCCAAGTCAGCTTGGACCTGCGTCTCCTGTGCTGTAACAGTAGCCCATAAACAACCGAATCCTCCCACCAGCAACATCTTTCATTTTCCTTTATTTCTATCACACAAAGCACCCTGAATTACAAAACCAACCATTACTACAAATATGAAAAATCCTTTCAAATTTCTCCTGGGCATAACACGCACACCAGAAATATCTGACAGGTTGTTTATAGCATTTTTTACGGCCTTTGTTATGTGTTTGCTTGCATTACTTATTTGTGCTCAACAGCTAGCAAAGTCTGTACAACTTGGGGAACTAAACGAAAGTACAAGGCTGTGTCTAAGTCCTAATCCTAAATTACATAGTGGGGAGTTATTACTAAACACAATGTACCTGTACCTTTGCTTCTGCAGGCTGAACTGCTTAAGATGAAACAACAAGCCCTGGAGACCAAGCACTTCATTGAAAAACAGGAGGCAGAAGAGCGAAAACTCTTGAAAATAATTTCTGAGGCTGACACTGAGAGGCTGAAGCAGAAGAAGGAATTAGACCAGGTAAGAGTCTCTACCTGAGAAGGAATGTCTCCTCCCCATCAGGCCATTGCAATGTACAGGAGCTAGGACCTTTTCCAACATCTCCTCCCCTCCTATTGAAAGCCATGAAAGTTGACATCACCCTGTTGAAGCAGACTTGTCCCCGTATTGAAGTCAGTGGAACTACAGGAGTTGAGACTAACTGGGCATCTGACCCGACACTGCGGGGATGGCTCTGAGCCTTGTCAGTCTTTCAGTCCCCGATAACAAAATCATATTTTGATGCAAATGCTCCAGACTGGGAAAACTGCTTGTAGTAGGCTGCTTTGCTAATGAGAAAATTGCCTGGCAGTGGGGTAGGCAGTTAATCCTTTTAGCCCTGGGGTAGCCAAACTGTAGCACATGTCACAAGTGGTATGGTCAGCCTCCATAGGCAAGTGGTAGGGGGACCATGGGGGGGCACATACCCCCCTGACAGGGCTGTTCTCCGCCGCTGATGCTGTTGGCGGCTTCTGCAGGTGCTTGCCAGCCCTGTCCCTGACGCCAATGCCAACACTGGCTTCTGCGGGTGCCCCCCCAGACTCAGGAGGCACCAGTTGCCCATGTCAGCCTCTCCGTGTGATATACAGCAGACTGGGGAGGGAACAGAGAATATAGAAACAAATAGGGCAGGGAGCAGAAGGAGCAATGAACCAAGGAGTAGGGGAAGGGGATCCTAGTGGTACTTGGTGGGGGCATGGGGCTTACCTTGTAACATGCCTCCGAAAAAGGTCGGTCCCCGTATTGTTGCCCATCTCAGCTGCCGTCAATGCTTTGCTGTTAGCAGCCCTGGGCCTGACTAGGTCCTGTCCATTTTAAGGCTGCTGTTAAAAGCAGGCAGGTAAGGAGCCTTAATGAGGTGCGAACAGCTGAGTGCAGACTGTCTGCTCCCCACCATGAACGAACAGCTGTGCTTAAATCAGCTTAAACTGCATTTGAGATTGAAACCAGTGAGATTTGGCAAAGTGCTACTGCCATTTGCATGATTTAAATGGTTGCTCGCCTTGCCCACGGGTATCTTATTTGGACTATACTGTGCAGGTACTAATGTTTTTCGACTGGCAATTACCTAGTGACTGCAGCTTGGGGCTTTGCCTGGCACCCTCAGGTTATCAGTGAAAGAGACATCCTGGGATCCCAACTTGTTCGGCGCAATGATGAGCTGGCTCTGCTTTATGAAAAGATCAAAATCCAGCAGTCCATCCTGAACAAGGGGGAGATCCAGTACCGGCAGAGGGTAGAAGATATCCGGCTCCTTAAGTTGGAGATCAAGAAGCTTCGGCGTGAGAAAGCGATTCTTGGCAGGAGTGTGGCTAACGTGGAGCAACTCAGGTAGAAAGACAGAATAAATCTCGCCAGCGGCTGTAGCTGTGACATTGCATTTGAAACACTGGAGAGACCTTGTTTTCACATGTGGGAAAGATTGGTATTGACAAACTAGTTCCTGACGAAGGGGTTTGGTTGATCTGACTTCCAACACGGGTTCGTTTTGGTTCAGAACCGGCTGATCGGTCATTAGGGAGAAAGGGAAAAAGGGAGGGAGAGAAAAGACACCTGGACCAAAATGAATGCCATGTCCAAACTTCACCTTGTGCCGTGAGTTACTAGTTTTACAAAGCCAGCTTGACAGACAGCAGTAGAAAAGGTGTTCACAGTTCAGTGACCACTTCGTGGTTTGGTGCCCAGGGCTTGCATTAATGGGACTGCTTTTTATTAGGCAATCTGTGAAGGACGGAGACCATTTGACATGTTTATAACAGATCACCATATGTTTTCGGCATTCCCTCTGCCTAGTTTTATATGCAGACTTGATCTGCAAGGAAGATTGAGCTAAATTTTCATTGAAGGTGTTTCTTTAAAAGTGAAGCTTTATAGCCCTGGCCTGATTTAGTTCCTTGTACTTTTGCTTGGTATTTAAATACCCTTCTTTTTAACCATGCCATGTACAAGGCATGTTCTCTCCTGCTGGAACGCTACGTTGAAATTGGGAACTTCCAGAGGAAAAGGGCTCTGTTTTCAGCAGGTAACCATGCTCCACAGCTCCGAGAGGGAAGTCCTGGTCTGTCTACCCACCGTCACAGCAATATTTATTACACTACTGTGACACCTTTGGGCTAGATCTGTAATGTGAATTGACTCCACTCTGATGATTTCTGTGGACCGATACCGAGTAACCCCAGCTGGCAATCTGGCTGTTGATTTCATTGGAGTTGCACTATTTTGAGTGATATAAGAGAGAGAAGAGTTGAGGTGTAATACTGATAACTGCAGTTTGCATTCACTGGCTGCAAACAGAGGCAGGGTTGGAGCCTCTTGCCCCCATTTATTGGGCTAGAAGCCTGTTCCTGTTTGAAATGCAGGGAATGTCCTGAATTGTAGCACGGTACCCGTCGTCATGGGTGGTTCAATTCTTGCTAACTACAGCAGTGAGCCCTACTGTAATGAACTCCAAAACCTTTGCAAAAAGCCTCCAGTCAAAGCTGTTCCTTTGTCACGTGCATGACTAGTTATCTTGAACACAGTTCTGCCATAAATAGCATGGTTTGGGAATGGATGATACATTTTTCCCTTTCTATTGTTTCATCCCAATCTACAGTGGGAAGATGGAGACTGTAGTGTCAGGCTTCCCTAAATAATTAATAGCTGAGTTCAATATAGGGGTTATGGCATCTTGGCAGGGAGAAATCCACTGGGGGGGTTGCAAATAGGAGGCAAAACAGCCAGTACCACCCTTTTGCTTGGAGTATGAGAAGCTGCAGGAGCCTAGCACAGGTGGTAGGGGCAGGATCCCATGGATGCAGTATATGCCTATAGCACAATGAATTTTCAGCAGAGCATTTACTCCATTTTTAAGCAGCCTCTGCTTTGGAAAGCGCTTCCTGCAGCATGGTGGGGGGTTAGAGTGAGGAGGTGTAAATGACTCCTTCCTCTTATAGTTTTACACTAATCTGTTTTGTGAAGTGGTGTTATTACTATGCACAGCAAAGGGCTATGATTGTTCCTCTATAATCAGAAGAAACTATATTAGCTTGAATGAAGATGGTGAAAGACTTTACTATTGCACGTTGGAGACGGAAGTAGATTATAACAACTTGCCCATACGATAGCCTTACCAGAGGGTAACCCTGTTCTCCAGTCCACCCCAACGTGCTGGGCAAATTGAAGCTAATAGTGGATGACTGTCTGTTCTCCTACAAGGGGGAGAATAAGAGGTAACAAAGCTTCTGATCAGCCATTCCCTATGCATACAGAGCCCCACGATGGGGGGATGGCAGGGTTATGTCTCATTTCAGTTGTGTATGCATATGTGGCAGCAAGCATAATTGGCCTTTGGAGGAAATGACCAACGGAAGCATTGGATTCTGCATTATATTGAGTCTTTAAATCAAAACTGGGTAGTTTAAAAAAAAGGATGCTCTAATTCAGGTGTTTCTATTGGAATGATTAGGTAAATTCAGTGGTCTGTGAAATGAATAAGTCCGATTAGATGACCGCAGTGGTCTCTTCTAGCTTTAAACAGCAAAGAAATAACTATATAACCCAGATGCTTTGTGTGATTATATTCCCTGAGGGCCAAGCCTTGTGGCTACCACTCTTCAGGCTGTGGCAGGTTTCCTTCTCTCGGGGTGATCAGCACAAGTCCTTCGTTGGGCAGAAGAGCAGCAGTCAAGCACCAAAAGATGCAGACTTTCTCCCCATGCGGGAGCAGAGCATTATGTCCTGCTCAGTGCTTTTGCTTTCCTAGCTTGCCAAAGGGAGGTTGAAAGAGACCGTGATCAGGAATCAAGCTTGGATTTCCTGCAGGGGATTGGCCACCTACCTGGATCACTAGAGATGTTCCTTCCCCTCAAACCCTCCCCAGACAGTCCGCCGAACATCCTATGATGAATATTTAGGAACACTGTGAGACCAACATGAGTTAAAATGCCTTAGTCAGACACAAGTTACGGGGCTCCAGGCAGGTGTAATTGGAGGAATTATTCCAAGGTTTGCGCTCCCTAGGACATCAGACAAGATGATCTTATGGGCCCTAAAGGCTGTCTTTAGGGACATGTGTTTAATAACATCTGCATCTCTGAAATACCTGGAAAATTGCTGATTGAAATCTTTTAGGTATGAAGTAGTAGTTTCAAAGTGGTTCCTGCAGGGGGGTTGCAAGGAGGATGGAGCTGGACTGATCTCAGTGGGGGCAGACGACAGGACAAGGAGCAACAGGCTCAAGTTGCAGCAAGGGAAGTTTAGGTTAGATATTAGGAAAAAAATTCTCTTAAGGGGGCAGTAGATCACTGGAACAGGCTACCTGGAGAGATGGTGGAGGCTTTTAAGACCCAGGTAGACAAAACCTTGGCTGGGACGATGTAGTTGGGAGTGGTCCTGCTTTGAGCAGGGGTTGGACTAGATGTGACCTCCTGAGGTCCCTCCCTAACCCTAATTTCCTATGATTCTAAGTAATTTACCTTGGGAAGTGCTGACAAACCCATCACTTGAGTCATTACTGGACAGTTTATTATGGGGCGCAACCATGCATTGGGTTCAGGAGGATGATTGGATGTCAGAGCTTCTTCCACTGCTAAAAATCTTGCATGAAAGAAAAAGGTGAGCTAATGCTCAAGCTGTTGTGTAATGTCTTTGTCGTGGATCATGCAGTTCTTTTTGCTTTAATCTAAAGGCAGGAGGTTTATCACATGCAGAAGGAGCTATTGAAGGAGCGGACCCATTGCCGAGCTCTGGAGGAGGAGCTGGAGAACCCCATGAATGTTCACAGATGGAGAAAATTGGAGGTAACATTTTAGCCTAGTCACTTCCCAGAGCTTGTATTTCCAAATCAATAACACAGCACAAAGCACATTTTCCTTAATGTTATGCAAATTAGCATGTGGAGGGGCAGGCAGACTGAAATTTCCATAGTGCCAATGGGATGGTTAACTGCTGAATGGCTTCCTCGCACAATGCAATCAGTGTTATTTTTGTGTTGTTTCCTTTATGTAAAAATTGCAAAAAGGCTTTAGAAAAAAGCCAGCCAAAAGCTAGAGAGAACAGGAAGGTCTTAAGGTGAGGATTAAAGAGAAGTGGCTCACTAGCACGAATGGAAGGAAGAGGAGGAGAGACATCCACTGAAGGTACGACTTTTCCTTCATCAAAGCCCAAAAGTCCTGTAGGATGAAAATTTCCAAGGTGAGGGTCAAAAGAGTGAATAGGCCAGGTGGAGTAGAGAATGGCTGGGTAGGACGTCACATCTGTGGGTGGTGGGACAGGGAGGCAAAAATACCCGTGAGTATCCACAGTAAACTGTTGCGGGTAATGCAACATACGTTGCTACGTAAGCAGCAAGTCTAAATTTTTGCTCTATCTGAAGCGACCAAATGGAAGCAAAAAAAAAAATCTGTTGGCCGTCGCCAAAGTCTGTGGGCGTCAGCTGGCACCGTTGGATATATCACAAAGCAAATTAGAGCCAGCTGAGATCTCTCTTTTGTACAGGCATTGATTTCTGATCTGATTCCAAGGGTTGCGTAGCTGCCCTAGTGAGTGAGTGATAATGTGCTAGTCTCCCAAGAAGCCCAGCTGAAGATTTTGGCTGCACTGATTAGCACATTAGTTAATTTCTGATCTTTCACTGCTGAGTCTGAAGCTGTATGGTAAACACGGGGAAGGGATAAAATATGGGGCACCAAACTATGTGAAAGTGGTCTAAGCACAATTTCTAACTTCTTAGGATTAAAAAAAAGAGCGAGAAATCAGGTCAGTCAAAAAATCAGGTGTGGGGGATAGAACAAGGAGCGTCTCTCAATTCTAGGTCACTGGTTTGGATCTGGGACGCCGAAAGGCCGGCAGATGGTGAAAGCGAGGCGGGATGATTCTGACGGGCTTTTGGTCTAATTCCTAATGAACAAACATCCCCATGACAAAAGATGCCACTACAGTTACGACCTGGCACCAACCTCAGTAGCGGCCTAAGATGGGTTCAAAGACTGAATAGGTCACGGAGATCGAACTATGTTGGCTTTTTTATATCTTACTGGTTTCTCCAGGTGCTGAGCTGAGCCGTGGCAGGCGAAGGAGAATGCAGACCCATGGATGGAGTTTGCACTTCTCCATGCATTCATACCTTTTAACAGCCAGTCTCTTTTGTTGTAAAATCGCACTTGATTCAGTTTAAAGCACTTGATTCAGTTTAAAAACGTGATGCCCTGCAGTTTAAGCACTTGATTCAGTTTAAAAACATGATGCCCTGCAGTTTAAGACACCGGATAGGCGTCTGTGTGGGGCAGTTTAGGGTCGGACTCAGGCTAAGGCCCCTTCCAACCCAAGTATCTATGAATGAAAATCTGTGCAGGGTGTGGACTTCTCTCGATGACCCCTGTGGTCTCTACCGGCCCTCAGATCCTTTGGTTTTTATATCTCCATGGAGGGAAATTCCTCATGGCCCCTTTTATCTCTTCCACCAGTCCTGAAAGACTTCTGCAGTCCCCGGACACTTACCAATCCCAGACAAACCTTTCTCTGGCCCAAGAGAGTAGTTCAGAGCTGCCTCAGGAGCTCTTTTTTGTCTTTCTCTCAGGGCTTTTGCAGTATGCTCTCGGAACAACTTCTCAACGCCTGTGCTCCTTCAGTCGGGGTTTCTGCTGAAAAACAATCTCCGGTTCCCAGCCCCTCTCCTGGCTGGAAATGAGCTTCATGCAGTCTCCCAGCCCTTGCCAGATGGAGATCAAGCTGCTGGAATCCCCCATTCCCACAATTAGCTTGCAAGGGACTCTTGGGGTTAGCCCTATTCAACATTGACTTATCATGGCAGATCTCCCATGGCCCTTCATTTCAGGACTGCTTATATCCATGCTTTCTTCAACCTGTTTAGACTGCCACTGGGCTAGAATAAAACCCAGCAGCTCATATTTTATTCACTCTCATCGGATGCATTTTAAAGGCACACAGGACTGTGCTTTTTGTTTATAAACCAAAGGCATAGCCTGTGAGGCCTAAGATTTCTCTCTCTTCTTTTGCTTTTCTTGGTTAGGCCAGCGACCCAAGCACGTATGAGCTCATCCAGAAGATACACACGCTGCAGCAACGGCTAATCAGCAAGACCGAAGAGGTGGTGGAGAAAGAATTGCTCCTTCAGGTACCTCCGCACCAACTTTTCAGACTCTCGGGGAGCATGTCTGGTCTGTCCTGAGCAAGCAGCCAGCTCAGGTGTGCTCCTCTGTTGTTACCTTCCTTCTTTCTAAATTGTGGACTTTGCTTGTTCATCTGTGTGTCCTCCAGGCAGCTGTAGATGGCAGCACTGACTTGCATATAGGGAAAAGATATCACCTGATTAGTTTAATTTATACCCCAATTTATAGATAACTGAAAAATAAACCAAAAAAAAATCTTGTTTTTATTCTATTTGCAACATAGATCAGCTTTCAAATCAACATAATTGCCTTGGGCAGGCATTTTTGTCCTTTTGATCACGTAGCTTTGACCGAGATAGCAAAGAGGATACCTGTTTGATTTCATTTGTGTTTTACCTGCTTTTTGGTTGAAAGATTCCAGTGAGTCTACATGTTCTGGACATGTTTTTTGGGGTTTTTTTGAACTGTGTGTTGACCTCACTAGCTTTTCCCTGAGCTTTGACAAAACATCGTTCCTGCTGTCGTGTCTTCCATGTTGCATAACCTCATTGGTACCAGTGGATTTTCTACTGAAGAATTTAGGGAAGATGATATCTCTTCAGCCTAAGTGCCGCTATCAGAGGTGCACGTATACACACAACGCTTCTGTCGACTTCAGCAACAGCTCTGCACAAAGTACCGAGGACCGAGTTTGTCCCTTTTTATCTGCACTCTTTGGCAGCGATGGCTTTGTAAGAGAAATGGGACTGCAGTTTCATTTGAAGGTAATGCAGGGCATATTGTCATGCCACTGCCTGGGGAAATGTAGCTTTTACTGCCTAAAACTGAAATTACATCTGTAAAATCAGATATTTGAGCATAAACAAAATGTAGCAAATAGCCCCAGAGTTCGTTTTACCTACGCACAAACCCAATCCTGCCTCTCCGCCTCAGAGGTACTTATGTGGCTCCCATTAATGCAGGGCCTCGCAACTTTTAATGTATTTATTCTCACAACGTCTTTGTGAAGGTGCTGTTGTATCCATGCCGTTTGCTTCCTTGGTGTTGTCAGGGAGGGATACCACCAGGAAACCCCAGTCACCAGCTCCGGCTCACATGCACCAAACCCAGCAATGCAGTGGGAAAGGGGGTCTTCCTCTGCATCTATGTCTATGAAATCTGTCTCTATGGGAGAAGCAGCCAGGATGGTTTCACTGCTGCATCTGTGGGTTGGGCACATGCAAGAAGGATTGGGTGGGCAGGGCATGCTTAGGAGCGCCACGGAAGTAGTGCAGACGCACCCTAAATGACTTGCCTATGGTCTGATGGGAAGACTTTGCACCATACTTGCACCATACTGGCACCATAGCTACTGTCCTAATCCATTCTTCCTCTGTATCATGCAGTCCTTTTACTGGCACCTCTGCTCATTTTAATGATCTCCCTTAGACTGAGGTCGGGGTTTTGTTCAGGTGCAGATTAAAGCATCACACTCAGGGATGCTGATCAGGACCTGTATGCATGCAGCATGTGGCATTGTTGGAAGGTGCAACTGGTTTTCTTCTTGGAGCAGGCCCGACTCTTGCATGCTGGGCACAAACAGTGGAGGAGGCCGTTCAGGTCAATGGCAGTTGAGGTGTTAGCATCATGGAGCCACAGATAGGAGTGACACTGGAGACAGGGGCTGATATTAATCAGGCTGTGTGTAGCAGCTGTGTCCTCTGTCTTTGCCCACTTGGATTTATTGCACTGATGGCCATGGTTGTCAACCCGGATCCGACTGGCGGTTTCCTTTCAGTGAACCAGCACAGTGGGCTGCAGTGACTGAGGCTGATGTTCTTAATTAAGTTGTCAGGTTCTTCCCTGACTGTCATTCAGGAAAGAAATATCAAGGAACCCACAAGGTCAGACACCAAGGTTTGAGACTCAGTGAGATTCACAGGGGAGGGCTAGTTAGGGAGAAGAGAAGGATCCAGTGGGCCAGCGAGCCCTCCCTATTTTATTCTGCTGTTCATTGATGTCCATGACATTCATTTCCGTAATATTTGAGCTGCTTCTGGTATTACACAGCATCCCTGAGCCATGCACAAGCCTGGACTGGGGCTAGAGGCAGGAAAAGGGGCAGAGTACCTTTGCATAAGGGGTCTTTCCAGGAAGAGAAGGGAGCATCTCCCTCTGGGTCAGCCCATAGAGGGGCAGTGTGGACTATGATGCTGCGCTGGCCTGGGACTCCAAAGACTCTGCTGCTGGCCTGTTGGGTGACTTTGGGCAGGGCGCTTGATTACTCTATGCCTCAGTTTCCCCAACTTTAAAATTCTCCCTCGTTAAATTCTGATGACAAAATTTTCCATGTATGATCTGGGCTTTGCCTGAGGACAGGAAGTACCCAGCTTCCTATGGCTCGGGAGTGCAGCTGAGGGATCTTCCAGCCTCTAATGAAAGGGATCTGAAAAAGAGAGGTGGTTGTATCACTCTCCTGATATAGGTGCAGAACTTGCCCCCTTTTCCCTTCTCTAGCACTGGGGTTCAAGCCTCCTTATGAGCAGGGCACTCATCTTGGATATAGGGAAAGGGGCCTGATCCTGGGTAAGTGGGGGCAAAAGCAGCCCCTCACCTCGCCTTAAGCTGCTCTCTTCTCGCTGCAGTGAGCCTCGCTTACTGAGCCTGCAGTACAGCCAGTGTATGCAGACCATGTACAAAGCACTCGTCCCTATAAGGTCCCACCAGCCATATTTTAATCTGGATAAAACCCCTGGTGCTTAAAGATATTTGACATTTTGCCACCTTTAGTTATTGTTCCAAATTGCCCTGGTTTCCAAGGAGCTGCTCTTGCCATTTCAAGAAGAAATGAAGCCTTTTGTTGATTCCTGTCACCAGCAAAATCTTTTTTATATTACCGTGGGTGGAAGGTGACAACATGGGAATAAACGGATCCCTTTACGCCAGAGTTGTAAATGCTATGGGCAGACTCGCCACTTCCAAACGGAGGTGAGGTTTTTATGGGCCTTTCCTTGCAGTCAGGTCCGTTCAGATTCTGATCCCTTGCAGGAGAGCGTGAAGTCTTGATGTCTTGATATTTTTCTCTTAACTTTAATTTCTGGGATACTCAAAACTGGAGACTATAGTCTATTGGCAGTGTTGTGAGCCTGCATAGAGTCCAATCGCTTTTAGTACACGCATTGCATATGGTGGACTGTGTACGTTTTCTCCGAGATTTCTGCATGGGTGTGTTGGATGGCTTAAACGTGTTTACATTAACACACCGTCACAGTGGCGTGGCGGGCTATACTTCATAAGGAGTATACTTATGGTGTGGTGTGAAGGGCTATACTTATACTTCATAAGGAGGAAGACATGGATAGGCTGTGAAGCCCAGTATAAAAAAGCCTAGTGTTTCAAAGCCTCCTCTCTGTCCAGAGATGGATTAGCAATCTGCAGGGTCTGGAGGGGGGCTCCTTTTGCTGCATTCTCAGAGGAGAAATGTGGATTTTATTTTGCTTGTATAAACATCATTCATATCATGCATACTGCAGCTCTGCTTTCCCCCTAGTACACTGGACTGGCCATGCAAAACACTGAGTAGGGACTGTCTTTGGGGGCTCACATGAGCATATATGGGTGGGAACATTTCTGATTAAGGACCCCAGAATATGTATCCATGTAAAAAAGGTGCCTACTCGCTCATCAGGTCTGCTCCTGTTATGCATTTGGTCATACCCACTAAATTTAGCATCCGAAATAAGCTTTCATCCTGCCTCCTGTTGCCAGTGCATCTCTGAGCAGGCTGCCTACATCCCATTCTAGCTTCACATCATCAACAGAGCAATTAATGAAGGTTCAGCTGGAGAATCTTTATTGCTAGCAGTACGTGGAACAGGCAGAAACCAGCTTGACTCTCCGTTTCTCAGGTTTTAATTTGTCAGCAGAGCAGGTTTTGGTAAGTCAGTTATTTAGATAATAATATGCAACACCATGTTGCCATTTTGAAGCTACTTTCCAAAGTAAAGAATACTATACTCTGAGGAACAGAGAAATGCCTCTTCTTTTTTTAATGACTAACTACCTCCCTCTTCTGTTGGCTTGTACATAGCTTGCAGCCCCACTTCTGGGACTGTAATCTATTTGATCTCATATGTTAAGCACGGTGGAACAGCATAAACTGTAGTACAGTAGGCCTTTAAAGAAACCCAAGGTTTAATGTTAGATATAATGTTTAGATTTAATGTTAGAGATAATGTCAGTGACTTAGTATTATCACTCAGTGCCTTAACATGCTAAAAGCCAAAGAAAAATGCTTTCACATAGTCAAGGACCTTGTGCAAAAATGCTTATGGCCATTCAAGATCTCATTGCACTTTTACCAAGAGTACGGGATATTAGTCCAGATTTGGCCAACTTTCACATCTACTTTGTCATCTTCTGTCCAGCTAATTTCAAAGGTATTTGTTGCTGGTCATGTAGCATCACTGTGCACTGTGGTAACTGTAGTGTGTCACTTAAGAGACGAGTCGAAGGTCTTTGTGAACCTGTGTGCTGTTTAATGTAAAATGCTTTGAAACTTTCAGGACAGAAGGTGCTTTATAGCCAGAAGTAGGGTAACAATATTCTTTTTAAGGAAGTCCAGGATGTTGCCTCTCCTCCCCCCCAGGCAGTCGGTGCCCAGCCCAGCCCACCCTGCCTCCAGCCATTGCTCAGGAGGAGCCAGGCCAGGCATGTGCAGGTGGGATGGTGCCTGCTCCAACTGCCCACCTTCCTCTTGCGCAGCAGCAGCAGCGGTGCCTGCACGCCCGCCTGCATGGCGCACCATGCTGTTCTGCCTCCCTCTCGGACTGCACCCTGCAGCCCTGCAGTTCTGGGACTTTTGTTCAACTTTTGTTCAGGACCAGTCTATGGCATCTGGGACTGTCCCTCCCAAACTGGGAGGTATGGTCACCCTAGTCCAGGGGTGGGCAAAATATGGATCCATCCCACGGCTGCCCCCACGGTGCTCCACATGGGACCGAGTCCTGTCTGCTCCCTCTGGGGC